TCAACTACATGCTTTATTTTATCTTATTTTACTTCATCTTACTTGTTTGGTAAAGTTAGAGATGCTTCACTTTACTTTATTAAAGTAAAATAAAGATAAAGTGCCATCCCTAGTGGAGTCAATGTTAACAAAGCGAACGTTTTGAGGAGTATATGCATTTCATCAGCTAAATCTCGATTATTTTAAGGCATACAAGTTTTCTACCACGTGAAAAAGATTTAATCTCTGTATTGAATCATATAAAGATAAAAAAAATAGCTTCTAGTTACCATAATAACTGAGTCGTTAGAGTAATAAAATGATATATCTCAAACATTCTCTTTATCTACAATGTTGCCAAAGCGAACGCACTAGTTATTTTGATTGGAGATAAACGACTGAAGTGTATTTCATTCACTTCCACTCCTCAAAATCAAAATTCATCGTAATGATCATTAGCAAGTCTCTTTAGAATGTTTAGAGGTACGATCGATTAACCAGCTGCTTAAACAAAGCTGATGGCTACATTGTATCGTACGTTGCTCTTCCTTCTATCTTATGTTTTTCATGATGAAAAAAAACTAAAACGGGTGTTTTTCAGGAAAAACCAGCATAGAGACAAATATTGATTAACAAATCGACATAGTACAGTAATGTCAAACTTGAAAGTTGAATTCAATTCAACTCTCAACTCAATTGTCTAGATGTAGTTTCTCTCAATGTTTTCCTCATATCTTTAAAAACTATAAAAACATTATAAATATTTAGATCAGGTTCCACTTTTACTCAAACTTCACTAATTTCTATCGCAATCTCAGTCTGAAATTCGTGAATGACTTTTCGAGGTATTCTCATTGAACGAGATAGCTTATATTAGTGTTTCTGTGGCACCCACATTCAAAGACACGTGTATATTTGAAAGTTGAATTGAATTTAACTGTCAAATTTGAAACACATATATGTTCATTGAAGTTTTATTTCATACAATTTGATCTATAAAAGACTTCTCAAAATGATGACTACTGCCTGAAATACATATTAATTCATCTACATCGAAGCATTTGAAAAACTACTATGGAAAATTTATTTTTAAATTAATTTATTTCCATTAGCGGTTTTTATTTTGAATTCAATCAGATCTTTATATGGTATCTGTAACGATAAAATGAGGAAGAGAGATGTTATGACAGACTGGAGGAGTAGCTAGCCGCTACTCGGCAATGATGTTTATTAGCTACTTCACATCTCCAGAATGTCTATTGCACATTCAACACACACTTATATATGATACAGAAACAAAGGAGAGAGATGACACCCCGAACAATGGGAGAGAGATGACACGCAGAACAATGGGAGAACGAAGGAAAGGAAAGAAGAGGAGCAACGTACCGTGACGCATATATCGGCACAGTATCGTATATTCATTAGTTTTCACCTCATATTTATCGATAAATCTTGCAAATAAAAGCAGTTTCGTCCGAAAAAATCGAATTATCTTGATTGTTGATGTTCTCTAATATTAGTATCAAATAGAGATGCACCGGTTCCAGTCACGACTGGATACTCAGTCATTTGATCTTTAGTCCATTAGTCGAGTAGTACGTTCTTCTTTTCTAGTATATTGTCATACGGTGATTCGTAGGCTGTTGAAGTACTGATGCAAGCTATAATATTGAATTCATTGGCTAATCATATATTTCTATGTATCAATCGTTATAATTTAGAATACTATAAATAAATTTCATATATCTTCATTAAAATTTTGCGAGCTATCTATTCAGGCATAGTTTTCGTTTATTGTAATCTGTTGAATTATTTTCTCTGCTATAGTTAGTCCTTCTAGATAATGAATTTCTATAATAGCTTGCTTTAGAAAAATGTGTCCTGTAAGATCGGTACTGGAATGAAAAATGGAAAAAAGTCGGATTCATTTTAATAAACATCAAATGACTAAGTACCCGGTCTGGCTGGGATTCAGTTACTGGCACTGGTGCACACCTAATATCAAGGTCACATAAACATAACTCGATTTTGAAAATCGCCTTCATGAATTTGTTAGACAAATCCTACTCGCATGTTTTCGTTATAAGATATTCAGTCATGATTCAGTATACTACTGTCTCTGAAATAAACCTGGCTGTCGTGTCAGCTAGAAACACTCAATAGTAGCTTTTTTTCACAAACATTATGAACTTCATCGATTTTCTCTTGCGTAATTTTTGAAGGCATTTCAGACCGCTGTCGATATGCTACTGAGTCCACGACCTTTTTTTATTTAAAACTCAATGGTTGGAAAAATAGGATACTTTCCTTTTAACAATGGCTGAGGCCTAGGAGGGTCTAACAGAGACACTCAATCTCTCTATTATGATGGATAGCCAGTCTTCTGAATCCCACGCCAAGTATATTTCACGCTTATTCGATGCTCATTACTTGTCTTGAAATCTATAGCGCACTGCTATCTACTCTACGACACACATACTTTCAGTGGAGTACAGTCCTTCCTTAACTACATCTCAAAGTAGATAGATATATACCTCTTATTTTCAGCAGTAGAGATGTTCAGGGATCACTACATATATCTCATAGTAAATCTTATATTAAATAGATATATATTGATGCTAATACTAAATCACGATGAGATATCTAAAGACCTCCAAAGAGCCACATTACCGTTTGGAATTGAACGTAATTCTTTTTTTGTAAATTCAGATTGAAATAAAATAGCCCATTGTATGATGCTACCGTAATAATTTCACAATAGCATTGAAAAGTATCTCTAATGCAGTCTACGTCTTACGTTTGTGTGTCAAAGTCAGATTGCATTTTTCTTTTCATAATTCGACATGACCTAAATATAGACATCACCGGGTCAGGCAAACAATAAAAAAAAACCCGTAAAAACGTATCGGAATTCTAAGAAACATAAACTCCTAAAACGTGTACATTTTTACACATTCAAAACGCATTACAGCATCCGAATGAATATATTTTCGTTTAAGACTTGTAACCCATTGTGAGCGCATCAAAATGTACGCTTTTGAAGAGGTTATTTTCCTTAAAATTCCGACGCGTTTTTCTTTTATTTATGTGTTTGAACGGATATATATTAGATTGATAAGATTTTGTATTGTAATTAATGTCAATAAAATATATCTGGAGACATCTATTATGTTTAATGAAGATGTTCATATTAATTTTTGTGATTCTATTATATTACAATGATCGAATAAAACAAAATAAAACTCTACCATTAAAATTAAGTTGTTTAAATGTTAATAAAACAAAGTATGAAAGTGAAATATCTATATTTAAATTACGATTGAATCAACGATTATTTCATCTTGGTCAACGATTTTCTCATATTAATATCAATAAACTTCTTCATATACAATCGTCTTCTACTAAAACATTCACATATTTTTGTTCGAAATTTTGTGGAGGATGGGGAGATCGTCTACGTGGAATAACTTCAGCATATATTCTTGCTGTTTTATTACAACGTCGTTTTGTTATTGATATGCAATATCCTTGTAATTTAACAAATTTTCTTCTACCAAATTTAATTGATTGGAAACCAATTTATCGTATACATCAACAAAAAAATTCTTTAAAATTAGATATAATGTATAGTAAATATGCAGATAAAGTTATTTCACACATGGCTACTGATAATTTAACTCAAATTTGGTTAAATTATGATAATATTTTTTTTACAACAAACAATGATTTGATAAGTATTGTTTTAAAAAATCCATTTTTTAAATTAATTAAATCTCAAATTAATATTCAATCAAATGAATCAACACAACAAGAATTATTTCCATTTTTATTTGAATTTCTTTTTAAACCAACTTCAATTATTATTAATAAAATTGATGAATTATTTTTGAAAAGTTCTTTATATTTTAATCAATCAATTATTTGTATGCATATTCGAATTGGACAAAGTCTAACTTTACGAAACGATAAAAAACTTCCATTTCGACAAGCAATTGTTCATGATATGTTAGAATTTATTGATAAAAATTTAACTGATTCATATTCATCAATATTCGTTACAAGTGATTCATATCAAATTCAACAAGATATTTATAAACATTATGGTAATAATCGATTATTAAGTGTATCTGGTCCAATAATTCATATCGATCGATTAAATACAAAAATGGAATCAAATGAAACACTTTATCATGGTTTTGTTAAAGTTATATCTGATTTTTATTTTTTAGGTGAATGTGATACACTTCTTAGACCTCGAAGTGGTTTTAGTGAATGGGCTGGTCGTCGACGATTGAAGGAATATTCAAATTTATATATTTATTGTCGTGGTATACATCGAGTAACTAGTTCGAAATGGCGACGACCATATAATCTATGTTAGCTTGTCTCGTTTTTATTTATTTAGAATAAAATAGGATTTTTTTGAATTCAATAATAAAAATCAAAGAAAGAGAGAATTGAATAGTTATATGTAATGGACTGAAATTATTTTTGTATTTGCCTGTACATAATAAAAGTGATAAAATAAATATTGAACATGATGATTTATTTTTTTAACAGAGCCAGAGCAGCAGCAGTAAGACCTAGAAAAGAAAAATAAATTCGAGCATTATTTCATTGATGTGTAATGATATAAATTCCAAAAACAAAAAACAAATAGAATTATAAAATTAAAGATAATAAATTGAGTCGAAAATGGTAAGATTTACACTTCCATCTTTTGATTATCATTAGAAAATCATGTAATTGTCTAATTTGTATTCTTTACCTCCGACAAGTAATAATGCTCCTGCTCCTATAGTAATGGCAATGCTAACATAGAAAATATAAGTTCTATTATTTTCTTACCTCCAACAAGTAATGCACCTGCACCTACGGCAATACCCATACCAACATCTAAAAAATATCAATAAAAATTTTTGTTATTATTTAATATATAAAACTAAACACATACATCCTTCACGAGTCATACGTCGTGTTATTTCCTCTTTGAGATTTTTTGCTTGATGATTACCCGGTTGTATAAGAAGAATAGCATCAAGAAATTTTAATGCTGTTTCATATTCATTTAATCGAGCATTACCTAAATTTTAAAATCACATTGATTAGAATCCGTTGTTTTTTTAATTAAAAAATAAAATCATTTTTACCAAGTGCTAAATAATATAAATAATCACGTTTAGCATCATCATTTCTTGTTCCATCATACAATTCTCGAAGTAATTGTAAACCATAACGAACATCACTTTTAACTTTACTTCGTACAAGACAATATGCAAAGGAAAATTTATTTTGATCTGTTAATTGTTTTGCTTCGGCAGCTTTTTCATATACAGCACGATAACGTTGAATTTCTTCAGGTTGAACAACATCATCTAATAATAGTTGAGTTTCTTCCATAATTATTTAATTAATGACAATAGAAAAATAAATGTTATTGTCAGTAGTCTATAATAAAAAAACGTGATAGGAAATAGTGGGTCAGACATATAAAACAAAAAATGATTTAGTAAAGATGAGACAGTCATGATGTGTCGATAAAGGTGATTAACGACAGATTCTTTTTTTTTTTCTTCCTTTGTATTTCTCATCAAGATAGAAAAAAAAACAAGCACATATAAAGCAAAGCAGAAAAAGAAACAAAATACGTAAATTTTTTATTTTTGTTTTTTTGTCAGCAGAAATTCTATAAAATCTGCTAAATTAATAATCGAAAGAAATATCGATGTTATGATTTACTTTTGTTCCTGGCTATACAAGCATCATTTCTTTGAAAAAAAAACAACCTTGGAAGAGAAATTTGTAAAGAACATTGTTTCAGAAATCGAAAAAATAAATAAACAAACAAAAGATAATGAATAATATCGATTAAGTTCACAAAAAGAAACAGAATTGTCATTCATCATAATCGTTAATTATTATATGGTCGAAGTAATTGTAATACTTGTTCACAATTCTTAATTGCTGTCGCTACATCTTCATGTTCAAGAGCTGAATTAGCATAACGACATAATTTTTGTGCTTGACTAATTACATCAAATGGAACGGCTAGAAAATAATATAAAAAAAAAACAAAAGATAAGATTAAATCGTGTTACATATTTAGAAAATCATTGGTTTCTAGAATTCCCCCTCTTATGTTTGTTCAAAATTAATTAGAAAATTGTTTCAAATATCTTACAAGTTATGATTCCATATAATCAGTAGAAGAAGATTAAAAAAATACAGTAATTGCCAAAAGTTCTGCTACTAGGTAAAGAGTACCAAAATTTGAATTGTTTTGCCTGATAGTTTTATTACAAACAGAGTTTGGTAAACTCTGATTGCTAGTATCAATCCGAGATTGGTCAATCTTGATGAATCGGATTAGGAATAAAAATATTGATTGTTTTCTTCGTTGGACATCAAAAAAGGCTTTTTAGACACTTTGATTCGCCATTAGTTCTGAACGTTAATATCTATCATTTTAGTGACAAATAAAGGTCCGCATGACTTTACAGTGTTATAGATAGGAAACTCTAATCTGTTGGGATTCTGAAGCTCAACGACGTTTCCATTATTGAAAACACTTTTCGCATAGATCTCCACACTATTTTCTAATCTTATTGTTATCAACTTCTATTAATAATATAGAAACATAACTGATAAAATAGTATCAATTTTTTTTTCGCATAATAATCCTTCTTACATTTATTGCCACTACTTTCATTATAAGCAGCTGCATTAGCATATGATGGTGGCATTTGTGGCATTTGTGCTGGATAGTGCGCTGGATATTGTGCTGATGCAGCAGGTGGTTTTGATGGAGGCATTGCATTAGCATTTGCACCGCTTTGATTATCAGCTAAATCAATACATCAATTAATATCGATTTTATAATAAAAATGATTTACTTACGTGGTCTCATTGCCGATGATGAAGCACCACCACCGCCACCACCACCACCACCAGTTTTTAATTCACGAAAGATAGCAACTGCTCGAGTTTTAGCAATTTTACCTAATGTTAAAAACTAGAAAACAAAAACAAAAAGTCAATGATTACGATGAATTTTCTATTTGTCTCTTACATCTTCTTTAACTGGTCCAAAAACTGAAAGAACATCAGTTAATCCTCCAACAGTATAATGTTTTCTCATAAGTAAACGTAATTCTTCAGGTGTTTTTAATTCATCATTTTCAGCTTCATTTGTTTCACCAACAAGAACGGTTATTAATTCTTCAATTGTTGCTTGACCAGTTGATAATGATCTAATAATTTCATCATTTGGATTGTTTCGTTTTGTCTAAATAAAAACAAAATTTATAAGAAAAACAAAAAAAAATAATAATAATAATAAATCCATACAGCTTCAAGGTAATCAAGTACATTTGAAACAAATTGTTTTTCTTTTTGAAGTTTAAGTGCTTCATGAGCAATATACATAAGACAATAATATGTTATAGAAATTGTTTCAGGATTTTTTTCATATTCTTTAGCTATACCAAAATGTTGCATTAGTTTAACACGTAATTCTTGTGGAACTTGTGATGCTAATGTCTAATAAAATAGATTCATTAATAAAAAAAAAATTTTTTTTTTGTGAAAAATAAAATTCTTACATCAAGTGTAGACATTTTTTAAGAAAAAAAAATGATAATAGATAATTAATCTAGAAAAGAAAGAAGAGAAGAAGAAGTGCATTTTCTTTTGTATTTTGGTTTTAAAAAAGCATGTTTATGTTAATAACAGATAACGATTTCATTTAAAATGTTATGTCCTATGATTCCATACGTTCTGTTGCAACAATTGTTCGTGGTTCAACACTACCAGGTGGAGGTGGTGGTAAATCATCATCGCCAGTAATCTAAAATTTAAATAATAAATAATAGAAAAAAAAATGAAACTTTTTATTAAATTCATTTCATTACTAATGTATCATCTTGAGCTTGTGGAGCACGTTCATCACCTTCAATTGCTGTTAAATAAGCGCCTACACGTTCATTATCCAATATTGTAAATGGTGTATCTTTACCAACAACAGCAACAGCACAATTCTAAATTAAAACAATTGATCAATATATTAAAAGCTATTACCACAAACCTTACGACATTAAAACTTCTTAAATCTATGTCGAGAAATCTTCATTTTTTTTTCATTTTTGAACTTAAAGATTTTAATATATATACGTGTAATGTTATTTTGTTTAGATGCTCAAATATAAGGTGTCTCTAATCTCAACAATTCAATAGTGAACATTTTTGAAAATATATTTAAGATGTTCATATCTATCTAATGATTTAATGATTCCGGGTATTTTTTGAAATCGCAGAACTCTAATAAGCATCCAGGCGAAAAAATTCAAGTGTTCCTTTTAATAATTTAAATAGGGGAATATATACATTCACCTATAGGTTATTTGATGACATAAAAGCCTTTGTTTCTCTTGTTAGTATTAATTGAGTAGCCTGATCGAAAGACGTCGCTAGTAAGAATTATGAATCATTTTTATTGGAAATAAAATAAAATCAATAAGGAGAAAACACTCATGAGAATGCTATATATAATCTGAAGCTGCCACTGTTCACTCTATTGAATTGTAAAAAAGAAACTTCCACTTTTAACTGCATGGAATTCGGCAAAAAGTCATTCTTCTTTAACATCGAATGCTTTTACAGAGACGCGTACTCAGTATAATGAGTTGGCACAATTTTTCACAACTTCATATCAAACGAAACTTTCACAAAACGTCCCTCCAAGCATAATATCGATATTACGTTAGCGCCAGCATTCCAGGCCTGAGATAACAAAGGAATCTCTTTAGCTGCTCCCTTATGATTTCAATGATTTTTTTTGTCTATAGATACTACATAGTGTTCTAATAAAAACCTTTTAGGGTTTTATTAGAACACTATGTAGTATCTATCGACAAAAAATCATTAAAATTGGAACAGACGCTTCTTCTTAAGAATTTTCTAGAAAATCTTCGACTTGTTAGAGAAAACTTATTTTTCTCGATATAGAAATACTTTTATTGAATACTAACTTCATATTTGAAATCAGTATTAAATGATATATAATTTATTAATCTGCTTAAAAATACTCACTGCGCACACAGAGATCATTTTATTCTTTCTATTTTAGGACAGATTTCTTCACCATTCTCTTCAGAAACAAGACGTTATTGATCAACAGTCTGTGATGCTCTCATAGTTACATTTATCAAGACTTCTGGGAAGTCCAAATTTTTACTTCTATACTTCTACACTTTTTTTTACATCATATTTCACAAAAATTAAATCTAATTTACTTTAACAGTAAGTTCAACTTCATTTGGTAATGTATCGCGTAATGCTCGCATACAATGTTTAATAAGTTCATCTTGATTAGAATCAGGAAATTTATCTAAATTTTTTTCAAGATATGTTCGTGCAGATTGAGAACGTGCACCAATTGCCATTGATTTGCATGAATAATAATTAGCCGATGGACATGATTGATATAAATGTGAACCTTTTTCCTAAAACAAAATTAAGAAAGAAAAACAAAAAATTTTAATCAAGTTTAAATCTACTGAACATACGTCATAACCAGCCATAAGAAAACCAACACCAAATGGACGACGTCCATAACGTTGTGTTGGAATTTGACATTCTAAATTAATTGAGAAGATGATTATTAATGGAAAAAAAATAATAATAATAGATATTCGTACTGTTGCTAACATTATTCATTAATCGAGTAACCGGCATTGGTTTATCGAACCCATATTGATGATTAATACATTCCGTACGCATGAATCGACTACAAAATAAAGAATAAAATTTGTTTATTGTTTAAATCATTGTCTTTTTTCATACCAAAGAATACGAGCATCTGATGCTAAGCCAGCAATTGAAACACCGATATGATCATCAATAAACATGATTTTTTTTTGATGAGCCGATAATTCAGATGGTGCTCGCTAAATTTAGAACAAAAAACAAATTCAAATTTTCAATTTTACTTCCTATAAATAATTTTACTTTTAAAGCACAAAGAACAACATGTGTATTAGATTTAACAGCTACAGTAGCTGCTCCTTGTTTAACAGCTTCCATAGCATATTCAATTTGATAAAGTCTTCCCTAAATGAAAAATAAGATAATAATAATAGAACAAAAAAATAAATAAATAATCTTCTTACTTGTGGACTCCAGATGCTGACATCATGATCGTATTGATTACGAAACTAAATTTAGAATTTAAAAGAAAAAGTTTTTATGTGTGAATGTGTGTTTTTTTTTATTCAATTTTTTTCAATTACCATTATGAATAATAACTCAGAAAGAATTTATCAGGTAAAATTGTTCTACAAGAAGAAAAAGTAGATAGAATAGAAACAACCAATTATAAAAAATAAACTAGTTTATGTAAAGTGTGTCAATTGAATGACTAATTGAATAGAATAGTTTATCGAGATATGAAAATAAATATTTATTGGAATATTTATCAAGATTTTTGATAATATTTTCATTAAGATATATCTATAAATAATAGATAGCTTCAATTTTAATTGAAACATTCAAATATATTATAGATGACGCTAAAGCACATTGGAATAATCGTTCGATGATACACAGATATTAGACAACATTATGGATTATAAAATATGCAAAGTTAATCTTAAAATTGTAATAGAGAATAGGTCAATTGATACAATATTGTTTTTTTCAATTTTTCAATGATGTTGTTTCAGAACATTTTATTATCATTCTTTTGAAACTATATGGCATTGTAAAAACAAAAGTAGCTGTAGGCACGAGCGTAACGTAAAAGAGGGAGGGGCAAGACAATTCGATGCTTCTGGAATTCGCCCACACAACGTCCTTTTTTTTCTGGTACTCAATCACGCTGCCTACAGTACTGAATTTTGCCTCTGATTATACGAAATTGAATGTTATCGAATGTAATATTTACTGCTTTGATAGTTAATTAACGAGGGAACATTCTCAGGTGTCTGCATTCGTTTGAGCTGATATTTTGCCCATAATTAGGCCTTGGTAAGTTAAAGGATTTGTATCCTTACGGAGTTTTAAATTGTTTGAATATTTTCCATACACATAATAGTCATGGCAAATGCTTTTTGGTTACTATTAAAAGCCAGGAGACTGTAAATCTTTTTGAGAGTGAATTTAATGCTAACTAGATTATACTCGTTAGTATTAAGTTCACTCTCAAACTTTCATGTGCATGGAAAATATTCGAACTATTCAAAATTCGACAAGGATACAAACTCTTTAGCTCACCAAGGCCTACTTATAGGCAAAATATCGATGTTAAGTATCATCTATCAAATTTTACTTTTTATCAACTTCCATTTTGTCTTTAAATAATATAGACTGAATTATATTAACATCATCCAAGCGTATTATTTCAAAAACTTCATCATAAAACTTCTAAATACTTTTCGATTTCATTTCTCGTTAGAGCCATAATCTTCAATCATGAATATTTACAAAAGTATACCATAAATATTCACTTTTCTTTTTTTGTTTTTTGAAGAAATCAATGAATATAAAATTTCAAATTTTATTATTCAATAAAAATGCCAAGTAGCATGAAACCGATAGATTGATATAATGTCGTTTTTAAACTAGGAGGTTATAGTCATGGAAACCAATACAATAATGTATGATCCTTTTACATCGACTTACGTTATTCTTTTTTTTTTGTGTTGTATTTTGTACAAAATAACAGAGAAAAAAAAAGAATGGCACGTGTTCGATGTTGTACAGATTTGGATAAAACTGTTTTAACACAAAATTTTGATAAACGTTCTTGGATTACTGTAAGTCCTGATGAAGATTGGAATTTTTATTGGTTAGTCAAATTATTTATACTATATTTTTACTTGAAAAAATTACTATAGTTTTTGCTATATAGGGCATCAGTTACTACTGTTCGTTCAATATTCAATCCTGCAAATGATCATCCTCGTTTAACTGATAATCAGTAATTAATTAAATTTTTATAATTTAATTAGTAAGTTTAATATAATTATATTTAGAGTTATTAATCATTTTCCAAATCATTATGAATTAACAAGAAAAGATTTAATGGTTAAAAATATAAAACGATATCGTCGAGAACTTGAAAAAGATGGAAATATGCTTGCTGAAAAAGATGATGCTGGAACACATAAATATCTTGGTTTAAATTTATTTTTGTTTTTTAAATATTCATTTACTTAATTTTTTTAAAATTCATAGATTTCATTCCAGTTACTTATATGATGCCAGCTGATTATAATTTATTTGCTGATGATTTCAGACGAGATCCTAATCATACATGGATTATGAAACCAGCTGCTCGAGGTTCAAAAATTTTCTTTTCGATTTTTATTAGTTATCTTTTATTATATTTAGCACAAGGTAAAGGTATATTTTTAATAAATAAAATGTCTCAAATTAAAAAATGGTCACGTGATGGTAAATCAATACCAGCAAGTATGACAAATTTTTTTTTTGTTTTCATAGTTTAAATTTCGATGCTTTAGCTGCACCAACTCGAGAAACTTATGTTATATCAAAATATATAGATAATCCACTTTTAATTGGTGGAAAAAAATTTGATTTACGTCTATATGTTCTTGTTACATCATTTAAACCATTAAAATGTTATTTGTAAAATATTATTTTAATGTAAATTTTCATTATTTCATTATAATCAATTATTTTTATTATTAGATTTCGACTTGGTTTTGGTCGATTTTGTACAGTTAAATATATTTCATCAACAAATGATATTGATAATATGTTTGTTCATTTGACAAATGTTTCTTATCAAAAACAAAGTGTAAGATTAATAAATGAAATTTTATATTTATTATTATTACTATTATTATGAATGATAATTTTAGGAAGACTATAATTCAATACATGGAGGTAAATGGTCGATTGATAATTTAAGATTATATCTTGAAGGAACTCGTGGAAAGAAAGTATGATTGATTTTATATTGGAAATATTCTATTTTATTAACGTTTTCTTTCAATAGCTTACTGATCGTTTATTTGATGAAATGTGTTGGATTATTGTTCATTCATTACGTGCAGCATCTGCTGTTATTACAAGTGATAGACATTGTTTTGAATGTTATGGATATGGTAAATTATCGAGATAAAATTAAAATAGATAACTTTGGATTTTGTAGATATTATTATCGATGATAATCTCAAACCTTGGCTTATTGAAGTCAATGCATCACCTTCACTCACATCCACGACAGCCAATGATCGTATTATGAAATTTAAACTTATCAATGATATTCTGAATATAGTAGTACCAAATGGTGATATTCCTGATATTCGAAATAAATTTACAAATACAACACCTGAAGTTCTCGGTAATTTCGATGTACTCTATGATGAAGATCAAGCATGTTGTGAATTAAATGATAAAGATTATCGTGAACAAAAAGCTCGTGGTGGTATTGTACCATTAGTATCAAAAACTGGTATAGCACTTGGAAAAACAAAACAAGCATCAGCATGGAGATAAATAAAGACAATTACATTTCTTTTTTTGTTTGTTTGGTCGCATTTTGTATACAGATAAAGAAAGAAGAGAAAAAAAAACATTAACAAAGAAACAGACTTTTATACTAGACACAACAAAGAAGAAATGAACAAAAGAAAAAACATTATTCTCTTTCCTTTTTTTTTAAGATCCATTTGTAGCAGAATTAGCCGTTGTTGTCGGTGGAGGAATTTCTCCTCGATCACCAGACATAGCTTCAATACCAACATCATCATTATATACATGTTCAGCCTATGAAAAATACAAAAAAAAACAACTAGTATTTATTGTTTGTATAAAAATTAAATCAAAATTACTATTTGCCAAACTTGAGCCATATTATCTTCGGATACCGAACAAATAACAAATGGTTCATTTGGATTCCATGAAAAATCTGAAATTTTTGCCGCATGTCCACCATGAATAAACTATATTATATATAAAAAGAAAATATAAATAAGCTAAAATAAAATTTCTTTACCAATAATTCAGGTGGACCATCTTCAGCTTCAGTTGCTGTTTGTGATTGATTAATTCGACTAAATAAAATTATTAATTTAATCAAACACAAAAATAAAACACATTTTTCTTCTTCTACCTTAAATCCCATATATGAAGTCGTCGATCTGAACCACTTGATGCAAAAATAGTCTCATTTTGAGGTGACCACTGTGCCTAAATAATAGAAAATATATATTCAAAATATAATATTTGCATGTTTTACTTGAAATATTTCATCTTTATGAGATTCAAATGTTGCTAATTTAACTTTTAAATTTCTTAAATCCCATAAAGCAAGTGTCTTATCAGCTGAACCAGTTAGAAGTATATATTCCGAAAAAGGATTAAATGCAATCTAGAATAAAGAGAACAAAATTTCTTTTTTTGAATGAAAATTTCTATTACTTACACAATTGACTTCAGCTGCATGTGCATCAACAATATGACTTGCTTTTGAATAATTATTTGATCGTGTATCCCAACTAGAATTATTTATTTAAAATTAATTTTCATATTTAAATAAACTTACACCATCAATTTTTGATCATCACCTACAGAACCAAATATTGTTGGATGTGTACAATGCCATGCAACATCCTGAAAAACAAAAAACAATTTTTTTAAATACACAATCAATGTTTTATCTATAACGGAATAGGTTGCAAGAAACGTGAAAAATTCAAATTACGATTTGATTTTTCAAGTCAATCAGTCTGATTTATTATAGGAATCGTTCAATAAGTAAAAATGGAGTAGCTTTCAAAAAAACATTTCGGATGTCTCTGTAAAAAAAAAGAAAGGTATCCCTCAAACTAGCCTCTGATTGGTTTGCTCCAACTTAATATTTTTCCGAATATGATCCGTAACTAATTAAGATAAGCGAAATGAATAATAGAGATAGTTTATTGTCTTTTTCTTATATGTTGAAAGAGTAAATGATATATGTAAGTAACAAACAAAGCAGACAAAGAGCCAATACGCCACGATAGACTTCATTTCTTTGAGAAAGAAATTTTTACCACATGACCAGTTTTGATGGTCAGTTATACTTTCTCTGAGCTCTCCTCTCTCATATGCTTCGAATAGATCAATCAGCATTTCATTAACGATTAGATCGACATTTTGCATTGTAGAATAGTTTATGAATTTAAATTGTTACTCTTATTGATCGAAAGATTAATCAGAACTGGAACCCGTCAAGTCCGAAATTTGGAGAACCACTTTTCCATACTCTCAATGAAATTTTCTAATCGGAATTGAATAACCACCCAGAAGATATGAGACACTTTTTTGTATTCCGTGAAAATAGAGCAGTCGACACATTTCTCAGATGACTAGAATCCATCGGATCAAAAAAGCAAATTTGGATATGAATCGTTCGATAAGAATAAATATTTTTCATTGGTTATTTCATAATAATATTTTCTAATACAAAAATTTTTCTATAAAAAACATTTTCATACTTCAACAACCATTGAATGTCCAGTATAAATCGATAGAGCATCAAGATTTTTTCCTTCTTTTGGTTGCATATTTATATTCCATAAACAAACAGTATGATCATCAGCAGCACTAAGTAAATGTCCATTAGCATTTGAATTCCATGATAAACCATAACCTTCTCGAGTATGACCTTTAAGACGTAATTCAGGATTACAATCACCTGGTTGTTCTTTTCCTAATGGATGTGTATCAATATTAAATATTAATACATCGGATAATGGAGTTTTTGTTGCTATTATTTGAGGATTTTGTGGCATATAACGTGCACGATTAACTTCACCTTCATGATTTATTTTTAAATCAACTTCAATACGACCATTAATTAAACCAAAACCACCAAATTCAGCTTTTTCATTATCATAATGTGAACTATCTAATTCGAGATCTTCTTTTGGTAATTGTATACTAGCTATAACAAGATGATTTTGTTCATCAGATGTATGTGTACCAAGTATTAAACGATGTGTACTAAAATCTCGACCTTCTTCACTGAAAAAAGTAAAACGAAAGAAAATTAAGAATATATATATATATATATATAATAGATAACATACGTTCGAACATGAGGTAACCATTGTGTTGTTAAACTAGGCCATTCAAGTGCATGAGTTATAACAAGATTATATAGAAATGGTGCATTTTTTTTCCATATTTTATATTCTTCATTGATTGTTTTTTCTTCAATATTGTCTTCAAATTCACCTGAATAATAAAAAGAAAAAGAAACTATAAAATGGAATGAAATGAATTATTTTTATGTTTTTAATACCTTCTCCATTCTCTTTTTGAGCACCCATTATAGAATTTGTTGTTTATACAAATGAAAGAATTTTCATCGATCTATACATATAAGTTTTTGTCTCTTTGTTCACAATTAAGAAAATATTTTATTGGTAGAATTAATTGATGAATTAAAGACAAGTAACATTACTAATGTGTGCAATAGTGACATCTATTATTAAAAATATTTCAATTACATTCGACATAAGCTGTGCTTGTAGAAATTATTCTTTGTATAACATGATCTATCGCATCAATTAGTTAAAACTATATTGTATTTAAGATCTTCTTTTTAAACTAGAAAGATATTTGTGGTAGCGGCGGTACCAGAACTCTCGAACAGTAGATGCTCAGCTTCCCTCATACCTAGTGTGGAACCGCCGTTATCAACAACTTTAAAAACATTTCGAGAGCTCAGCTACCCTCTGCCTCCTTGTGATTTCGCCCAGAAATATTCATATAAGCACCTGTGAGGTAATAATTTTTCTTGCTTCATGGTCTAAATGACTCGAACTAGTAATCAAGTCTTTTCAACAGAATTGGTGTTACTAAGTATCTCATTTTAGCGTTTCCGAATCACGTAACTAAATTGAAGAAGTTTATTGAAATGGAGATGTCGGAAACTTAGAGCTAGAAGAAAATCAGCTGTTCAATAACCAAGCTCATGTAAAAAGAACTGATCATTGTACTCAGTTCTTACGAAAAGAATGGGTCTACTAGACTCAATTTTTAAAACAGAACAGGAAACTGTCATAGGTCTATTCATGTGCTGTCTACACATTTTCTTTTTTTTTCAGTTGTGTATTTGCTGTTATCCTCCATATGAGATTCTTGGTCAGAAGTGAACTGAATTTTAAAAATCCAGTCTCTCCATGGATGAAGAAACCAATTTTATAAAAATTAACTTCTGGAGCACTCTATCCATGAGTTCTACAAGATGTCAAAAAATATCGCATGAACATCTCTGATTTCACCACTAATATGCGATGAGAAAAACTAAAGTTATGTAATAAAAAAAAAAATACTAATTTTAATTTCTTTCCTTGTTAAATATACATATAGAGGTTCAATATTTTCCTACCTATGAACTATGTCTATAGCAATTTGTATATAAAATACTTTAAATTTGAATGATGCAGTTCTCTATTTGTTCCGACTAATCATATTCACATAAGGTTTCTTTTCTTGTTATACTGAGAAGCATTTCAACTTGATTAGTTTATTATTCCAAGTTCTCAATGTTCTCACATTCTCTCACCAAATCACCTGGATCATTAAAATATATAACCACATATATATATATATATATATATTTATCCTTATTTATGAAAAGTTAATCATGGTTATTATTGACAAATATATAATATAGAAATATCATACGTATACATATATGTATATATATATATATCGAATCCTTATAATATTCATTTGAGCATTTCATCATTTCTCGAAGACAATCATATGCATATAACATTTATAAGCACGAGCCAAAGTAATCAGCATTCATTTCTATAACAGTCAGGTGTACTTAAACCCTCGAAGGCATACATCAAATTGAGTTGATGAAGTCTTTCAATAACTGCTTATACACCCTACAAGTTTTTCTTTCTGTTTTTATGCTATTTCAATACGCAATACATACATTGTATATTGCATTTAGATGAAGGTGATTACTGGTCTGCTATATTTTCCTTTTTGGCTTCTGTTGACGATAATGTTAAACGTTCGTATATGTATGTTAAAACATAGTCAATAGTACCTTTCTGTTCATTCTTTAATATAACACTAGATACTGTATTTAATTGTTTATTCTGCAAATGGAGTGACATTAAAATAAAAGAGGTTAAAAGAAAAAAAAGATAATTCAAGTTATTAGTATTTTTTCATATAGGTATATATATATATAAAGATATATACACATCGGTCTTTTCTTTTCATTCGGCCAATGACTTTTTAACACGACCATGATGAATTTGAAAGGTTTCTCTATGCATGATAGACTAAGGTTTCAATAAAATTCAAAAAATTATACAAGAAATTCTTCATCATCATTCAATCGACATTGAATAAGCAAGTCAGAAAGTAGACAAGAGAAGAAAAAAAACGAAATAGAAAATAAGACACATGACAAGTTTATTTCATCCAAAATTATTTCTTGATACAGATTTAACTTATTGTCATCTACGAGATTCAACAAATAGGTAAGCATTTTGAATAATATTCATCTTAAAATAAATATGATGAATAGTTAGAATAGAAACGGCACATCTTCTACTTTGTTTTATGTTCAAAAGTCAAAGTGAATACACTAGAGACTTGTATGAATATAAAAGAAAAACAAAAACAATACAACAGTCACTCTACTATTGTCTGAAATGTATTTTAAATAAAAGCAAATATTCTTGAATGAAAGAATAAGATGATGAATTTTTGATCAAATAGAAATAATAACATAGATCTTGATATATAAATCGAAATAGATTTTTTTAAGAAAGAAGATTTTGATAATAAAGAAAGAAAAAAAAAGAAAAGAAACCTAGCAAATGATCATCTTCCTTTTTTTTCTTTTTAACATATGAAATCGATATATATCGAAACCTTTTCGATTATTCTTTTCGAATATATAAGAATCTCACTCTTTCATTCTACTCATACTCATTCTTCTTTTTATTTCATACAAGAAATTTAAACTAATTGTAAGTATGAATATGCATATTCATTGATATCCATTTGTTCTTAATTAATTAAGCTCGATTGATTTTTTTTTTTCTTTATATCTTTTGAACATTCATATCAGAGATAAACTACCGTTAGTCATTTAAAAGAATAAAAAGGATTAGAATGATTATGACACACATGTGTAGAACTATAATAAAAAAGAAAAACCATGGCGGCTAATCAACATAGTGAATGTTTTATTGTGCAATTCAATCTGATCCCGCCTTAATTTGAACTTATTCTAGTAGACTGATCATTACAAGAACGAACAGATCATTTGTATTGTTATTCTATCGAATTGTTTATTCACATCATCAGCAAACATGTAAACTACTCAATAGATGATGATGATGATGATGATCATATTATTGACTTTATAAAGAGAAAAAAAAATCTTTTATAAAAACTTTTTCAATGAATAGTAAACAAATACTTCGAAAAGTATAGAGATAGATGATATGATGAATAAGTAAATATATACGTGAGAAATGAAATATGATTTCATATTTTATTACTTGATTAGATATGTATATCATTTATTTTATTTTTTTTTTCGTTTTATTTTAATGATAATTTCAATTCTGATTCGTTATTGAATATTTTTTATTCTCAACCAATTGCGAGAAGCAAATGTAAAAAAAAAAAGAAATGAGAAGAATAACATTTCATTATATGTTGTCAAACAACATCATTAAGACCATTGCTTGCTTCTAATAGGTTCGGTTCATCATCAATCTCAAGAAAAAAAAAAGACTGAGAAATTTTTTTTCTCCCGCTCTCTTTTTCTCTCTCTTTTGCTTCGTTTTCTTCTGTTCCTCTTGCTTGATTATGCATCTCATTCGAATAGGTAGTAGGTCTTCTTGCACTAGAGAGAAAAAGCAAAAAAAAAAAAACCTAATACAAACATTAGGATAGAAGAAATTCTATTCGTCAATTGTGATTAGTTGTGTTTTCATGTAATAATTATAACGACAACTTGACTCAGTCTTTGAATCTCTAAAACATAATGACAGCAGTCAATTGCACCAACATGGATTCGGCTACAGTTGATGTTTCATCATCACTATGGCGTACTGTCACTGATCCTTCTCCATTTGATGGGTAAGTTAAAATAGGAAAAAAAAAAACTTCAAAGAACTACTTCCATCCCTTTTTTTTCTATTAAGATAAATCCATTGTTTCTTATCAGTTAATTCAAAAACAAAAAGAAAATTTTTTTTTTTAATGTTTAGTAGTTTTATTTCATCTTGGCGCGATCATCACCACCCACATCCACATGATTTAGTTGTACATCATGATTACACACCGTTTCGATTTTCTGATCCACACCATCACTATCATCATCATCATTATGATCCAACATCTTCTTATTATACCGACACACCTATGGATTCCTATGGATCACCAAGTGCTGCTGCTGCTGCTGCCGCTGCTGCATCTATGTATTCTCCATATATGGTACATCATCATTCGCCACCACCAACAAATTCTAATTCACCTTCAATTAAACCTGAAACAGCTGTTACGGCTGCTGCATTACAATCTGCATTAAGTTTATCAGCACCAATGAATGTTAATGTTTCAATGAATTTTAATGCTCATAATATTCAATATACAAATGGTTATAATATTCCAACAGCATCATCATCAACAGCGACAACAACAAATTTACCTTATGAACCATTTTATAGTTCAAATCGTCATCAAACAACATCACCGTATTATCATCATCATAATTCAATTCCATCAAAAATTAAAAATCGTTCGGATCCGACAACAATGAAACAAGCAATGCTTCTATCAGCGACTGGAAATTATGATTATAAAGGTTTATCAAAATTATGTGATTTTTTTCCAACACCATCATCATCATCAACAACATCAAATGAAAAGCGAAAGTATAAACATTAGCTTGTTTTTTGTTTCATTCATATTCAGAAAGATTTAATTTTTTTTTTTTTATAGTTCTTGGTTACAAACTCCATCAACATCTAAAACATCACCTAATAAAACTAATGAAGGACGTATAAATCGTTGTCGTATATGTGGAAAAGTCTATGCTCGACCAAGTACACTTAAAACTCATTTACGTACACATTCTGGTGAAAAAGTAAATTTTCTTCTTTATTAGAACAAAAAAAAAATAAAAATAAAAATTTCGATTTTTTAATTTTATTCTTTTAGCCATATAAATGTGATAAATGTTGTAAAGCATTTACACAAGCAGCAAATTTAACAGCACATTTACGTACACATTCAGGTGAAAAACCTTTTTCATGTGATATTTGTGCAAGAAAAT